AGCAAAAACTAGCAAGTAGCTAATATTCAAGTCCCCGACAACGGCGCCAAAAACTTGTTTCTCCCAAACGCACATGCAAGTATATGTGGTCGACAAGTAATATAATGATAAATTGAGTGTCGAACCCACAAAGACTTGTGTAAACTACTCACAGAATTACTCAAATTGTTATTCAGTCCAGCTAAAATCAAAGTCCAATAATATGATTATATTATACTACGATTCTAAGTAATAACTAAATTATCAAGTAACGAATGATTGTTGTGTATTCAATAGAGATAAATATTCCAGGGTTGTGATCGATTCACCATTCGTATTGTGTTCTAATTAACTCTCCCTTTCATATAATTCACCCATGGTTGCTAATTAATCGATAAATACTCTCATAGCCTTCTCCCGAAGTACTACTCACCTATTCTTAATAGATTAACGCCTATATTCCTATGGAATCAATCTATTAAGAACGCACTAAGATTACGATATTTAATTCAGTACGGTGACTAGGTATATTCCTATCCTAACCACAAATCCGCTCCCCCTAAGGGTTAAGATCATGCTCTCTTCAATTCTTCTCTAATCTAAACATGGCTTTCCCAAGCATAGCATAGATAGCAAATAGAACCTAACTGTTGGCCAGACAATTATGCAATTAAACACATAACTGAAGAAACAACCATATATTGGTGAATTATAATCAAGGTCAAGCTAATATCAAATAAAAATATTCATGGCTAAATCACAACCCCAGAACAATGGGTGTTTAGCCACTCATACTAGTGTTCAACACAATAAGGTTCAATTTCATCACAAGTAGCAAAAAACAAAGGAAAGAAAAGAAGAACTTGATGGTTAAATCTCCTCCTTGCCTCTTGCCTCTCTATTTCTTGCACTAGACTATGAAAACCTTCATGTTTAATCCTTGGGCGATCTTGACTTTATATAGGTTAAGTGAGATTTCCTCCAGATTTCCAATTATGCCCCTGAACAAAGCTTCCCGGAATTCGGACTAGCGCGGTCGCGCATATGGGCGCGCATCTGACCGTGCTAGTTGGCAGATATTCTGTTTAGGGCGCGCTAATAGTAGCGCGGGCGCGCACCTGGGCGCGCTAGCCCAGGTCCTTAATTCCTTGATTTTTTTTCTCGTCTTCGTGCGTACTCAGCTCCGAGGGCTCGTTGTTGCTCTAAAGTAGTTCCAATCACCTCTTTAAGGCATCACATAGGCTCCTCGTCCTGCAATGTATACAATTCACAATTAAATCCCATTTTTAATCAATTAACCACATTATGATATTGGAATATAACTAAGCGGGAGCATAAACAATCGCTAAATTACCTAGATTCAGCCTCTTATCATCATTCATAATTGCATCTCTAGAACTTGGGCTACACCATGGAGAATTGCTGACAAGATTAAAGAACTTAAAATGAAGGTGGATAGCCATGATATTGTCACCGGACATTGCTTCAGAGAAGCAAATAAAGTTGCGGATAAATTGGCTGCTCTATGCCACATAAATGAAGAGGTGTGTTTCACTCCTCCATCAAGTTAGAGGTCTTCTCAATGTTGACAGATGGCATATGCCTACCTTTCGAGTCAAGAGGAAAAACCAAGTGGGCTAATATATGAGCCTCCTTGAAGTAACAGCTTTATTGCCTCACTTTTGTTGTTTTGCTTTATTAAGTAGTGTTAGCTGAAGTTGTCGCAAACTTCTTTCACATAATTCTCACATCCTGTAAAGAAGGAATGGATATACCCTGCTTCTCAAATGTACTCTCTTCAAAAGTGACAGTAAAATCATGACTTGTTTATATAAAAAAAAAGTAGCATCTCATATAATACCTTAAATTCAAAATAAAAAAATGAATACAGTAATAACATCCTTTTACACGCTACGCTATCCTCGGCGACGATATCGTCATCGGAGATGAGCGGGTGGCTGAGCGTTATCGCGAGCTAATTTCGCCACTGAATGTTCCATCCTTAAAGATCTCACTGCAAACTTCAATAAATCAACAATAATAATTATTTAGTACAATTCTATATATGAGGTATGTGAAGGATATGATGTACGCAGCCTTACCCCTACCTTAGAAGGGTAGAGAGATGTATGTCAACAAATCATGAACAACTAAATGTTCACATATGGGATTAGTTCAAAAACCGAACAAGAAATAACAGCTAGAAAGAAACTGCTTACATGACGTGTCATAGGCTTCCCCATTAATAACGTGCAATGTGTGAATAGTCCAGGTGTAATCCAATGTGAATTAAATTACTAAATTCATATGTATAAATCCGACCAACCATATTGTTGAACTCAAATCTATATTATATTGAAAGGAGAGTAATTTTTAATGTGGTTAAGTCAAGTGGCAAGTTAAAATGAAACAACTTGGCAATTTTAAGACAACATAAAAAATTTGGATTATAAATAGAAAAATATTTATTGAAAGTAGTAGTCCAAGATTTTCTGTAAATTGAATTTCATTCTTTAATTAATCAGAGCCAATTATTTTAACATTTAAACTAAAAATATTCTCCTTTTGAGAATATGTTGGACGTACACAAAGAGGGATGCAATTTTTATTAAGCAAACAAGTATATTATAGTTATAGGTATTTTTACTTAAATTTGTGTATAATTCAGTTATGGTAGGTATCCTTCTTTTGAGAAAGAATCAATTAAAATTTATTTTTTTATATCTTGCACATTAATTATAAGCTGAAATAATAATTCTATATTTAGTACAAGCTTTGTATCTGATCTTATTTGCGAACAATATACATTATATAGGTATCTCTAATTAAATTTTGTGTATAATTCAGTTATGGTAGATATTCTTTTTTAATAAAAAAATAATTAAATAAAAAAATTTTATTATGAGTTTTGGTATCTTTAGTTAAATATTATTTATAATTCAAATATGGTAGGTATTCTATTTTGAGAAAGAATCAATTAAAATTTCGTTTTGTATCTTACACATTAATTTTAAGTTGAAATAATAATTCTATATTTAATACAAGCTTTGTATCGAATCTTATTTGCGAACAATATACATTATTATAGGTGTTTTTAATTAAATTTTGTGTATAATACAGTTATGGTAGGTATTTTTTTAAAAAAGAAATAATTAAATCAACATTTTGTATTTACATTTATATTATATTAAAGGAAATAGTATTAAAAAACGAACAAGAGGACAAAGGAAAAAAGACAAGAAAAATTAAGGTTTGGTGGTTAACAAAGTTTAATTAACCACAAAAAAAAAACGTTGAAAATTAAAAAATGCCTAAAGCTAAAAAATGAAAGATTCGTATATCATTTCTTCAGAACTCATACATTACACATGCCTTATTAAAATATTAGGATTTCATATACATAAAAATTGATTTACTATGATAGTCTTTCCTAAAAAATCTTTATTTAAGCAACCTTTCTTTAGGATTGGCTTCTCTACATTGCTTAAGGTTTAGTTTCCATACAAACTACTGTAAAGTATGGCTCCAAACTTTAACTATATTAGCGAAACATCAATATCCAAAATGAGATTTGAAGGTTCGTGTTGTTAGATTATGGCACATTCCAGACCGCGAGAAACCAGAAAATTCTAATTCAATTGAATTAATTATTCAAGATGAAAATATGCATACTCTTTTACATGTTATTTTTTTTCGAGTTGTGTTGTATGTTCTTCAACTTATGTGCCTTACTAACTTAAATTTCTTTCCACATTTTTTTATTTTAGTGAGATCGAATTCATGCAACTATTGAAAGAGTTGTTATGCGGACTTTCAAAACAACAATACATGAAATGGGATTGTACATTATGATAAACTTTGTGGTTGGACCAAACAATCTGAAAATTAAGATCAGCAAGCATAAATTGAAACTGAAAATTATAGGGGTTTCATCAATTTTTGATATTAGGAACAGATTGAGTTCCCAGTTGGTATTCTATTGTTTATATCCATATGAAATATATTATTATTGTTTAAGTTCTCACCTCAGCATAATCAACCCTTCCACCGTCTTTATCTATGGTTTGAATAGTTGAATTTATCTGCTCTCCGCAGTTGACTTGTCCTTTTTCTACCTCAACTTGGCTTTAGACAATGTTAGGCTAATAGACAAAGCTTGTGGAATGGTAGAAAGAGTATAAAGTTTCAATTACCACAAATGCCAAACAATAATAAAGAGAGAGCCTTGCTAGGAAATCAGCTTTTGCATATGCATTGCCGCATACATTTTAATTCTGAATGAGCTAATGTTTGACATAATTCATGTTATTTCATCATTGCCTCAATATAGAGGACAACTTTTGGAAAATGCACTGCAATATATCATGAGCATTTGCTACAAAAATGTTCCATTAAGCACATGCTTCATATCAAGCAAAATGTATAGCATTATTATTTTTCGTGGAACATTTATATCAAACAAATTGTATAGTATCACTATTTTTTATAAAACATTTATTAGGAGGTGGAATGAAAGTTTTACTGGAGTCTTAAAATATTTTTAATGTTTGGTTGTAAAGCTGGTATTACCACTAACATATTAAACATTACGGTGTAGATCGTTCTTTTTAATTATCCCCGCATCGCGCGAGTACTAATAGTTTGATAATTAACAGCTCAACTCCATTTATTTCTTCTTCCTCTGACTATACCCTTCCCTGGAGCTAACAACTTTTCAACAAGAAATTCAAAAACCAAGGCAAGCACTCTTCTCAATTATTTATCCATTTGTTTGTTTATGCAGCAAAAGATTTAACTATTTAATTTGTTGAGATTTCTTTCATCAGATTTCAAATTTATTCCATTGGGTTTGTACAAGAACATTCATTCCTTCATCAGCACTTGGAAATATTAAACACCCTATTCCTTTCAATTTAAAGCTTTAGCAGAATAATTTGGCCCTACTTCCAATTGACATTAAGGTAACTTTTGAGTGTTTTTACCATCATTCCCACAAAGATTAGATTAAAACAGTAACTAAATAGATGTGAAAGATATGGCAGCTCCTCATTATATTGTGTCCAATGAATAACATTGAAAGCATATGCATTTACTATCACAGCAACTAAAATTGAAGACTGAGCTACCTCAAGGCTTACTTTCAGTACATAAAAGACAAGAGCAACTAGTTATAGCAGCTAATTGACAAACAATTTGCTCAATGTTTTGTGCCTCTAAGGCTTAATTACAGCACATGAATATGAAAAAAGAAATTGAATTTTGTTCCTCGGTCATGGATTTACTCCTTCAAGCCTAGCGTTAACTGCCACAACCTGTGGTTTTGTTCTGATCATTAACTGCCTCTAACTGCACCCTTTCTGCTTCCTTCAGCAGAAACCGATTCACTGCCTGCCATAACCATAAGATGTAAGAATCAAAATAACAGGTTTCATGCAGCACTCATTAAACATCACCTACAATAACAGCTAAAAATAAAGACACAACCTAAATGTTTTTATCACTGTTAGAAGGACCAAGTGCAATATTGAGGATTTGCACTATGGATAGATTGTTGAAGGAAAACTACAAAAGGGCGGATAGATAATTTGATGCACAGCAGAATTCTACCTTTATCCTCCACATTTTATCGTTGATCTTTTGCTCTTCCTCCCTGATTTCTCGCTGCATTTTCACCAAGCATTGTTGCTCTACCTCCGAGCGTTCTTGCTTTAATAAGTCGAAGACTCTTCGATATCTCCGCTGCTGCGTTCTGTTCCATTGATAGACAACTGCAGTACCTGCCATCTAAACAAGGAAAATTATTAGTTATAAATAAAGCAACTTCACTCTGATCAAATACACAGCAAGAGCAAATTAATGTGAAAGAATACCGTAAAAACAACGAGAGCTTTGGCAGCGTTCTGTATAGCTTTCTCCTCATCAACAACAGGGGCATCACCAAAATGGAATCTCTGAGTCCCAAAAAAAGAGATTTTGATATAAACACTTATTTTAAAACTTGGTAGAGTTACTCAACATTATTTAAAAACTTCCAGGTAAAGCATAATTATTTACCTGACCCTTTTTGACAATGAATTGTTGGAATTTGGGGTTCTTGTCCGCACGTTTTCTCAGGCTATAAGCTACTGGCTTTGATATAAACACCAGCGCGGCGTCAATAAGAGGAACGACTGAAATGAATATGAAAATATGAGCTCAAAGCAAGAACGGGTATAAATTCGGAGGAAGACCCTAAAGTTGTCCCTAATCTTTGGGCTTAAACTAAAAATTATCCTTCTTCTTTAACTTGGAGCATTGATAGTCCTTATTGTTAGCCACATTGGTCCCTAATGTCCAAACTCACTGTTAGATTTTGACGGAGATCATCATGATTTCATTATCTTCTTCTACTTCAATATTATATTTTCGCCAAAAGAACAAAGAACAACATGACAAGTAAGTCCTTTACTCATCGCACTTGAATTAGAATTACCTTCTTTTTTCCTCACAAGAGCTAAGATCAGAGAACGCAAAAGAGAAACCCCAAGCCCCGAGTTTTTAAGAATCAATAATAACCGCAGGAGATCAAATTAGAGTTACGTACCTTTTTTAAACATTTTGATGGTTGTCAAGACTTCTTCCAGAGATTGAATAACCTACGAAACTTTCAATCTCAGATCATAGCTATGTACTGTATATATAAGAATATGGCCAAAACCCTTTCCCCTTTCTCTAGAAAACCAACATATAGTTTCTGAAACCCTTTCCTTTACCCTTTTCAAAAATAAGAATAAATGCTGATCCCTCTTTCATAGCCCTGGAGAATAGAACGTACCTGCGAAATCGCCGTCTGAGCTTGCTGCACACGCCGCTCGGTTTGGCCGGAGAAGTTTTTTTTTCTTTTCTTTTTCTAATAAATATATTAAGTCCTAACTCCTAATTATTAGTTCATGATAAAGTAATAAATAAATAAATTAGTTGTCATATCCAAAACTATAGAAAATAACATTTCTACTCCCTCCGTTACAATTTATGTGAACATGTTTAATTGTGCACAAAATTTAAAAAAAAAATTTTTTTGAAATTGGTGATTCAAAACAAGTTAAAAAGATGCCACAGTATTTGTGTAGTTATAAAAGTTTATCATTAAGGGCAAAATTGTAAGTTTAAACTATGTTGTTACCAAATTTAGAAAGGTATCATTCTTTTTGAACGGACAAAAAAAAAATAGGTTCACAATTTACAGAGGGAGTAACTGTTACAAAACAAAAAATAAATAAATACTACTCCCTCCGTTATAAATTAAATGAGGTAGTTTGACTCGGCACGGAGTTTAAGGAAAAAAAGAAAGAAAGACTTTTGAAATTTGTGGTCTTAAAAGCTTAAGGGATAAAGCTTTGTGGGGTCATGACTTTTGTGTGATTATAAAAACTTCTCATTAAGGTAAAATGGGTAAAATGAGGAGTTTAAAGTTGAATTATTTCCAAATTTAGAAATGTGTCATTTATTTTGGAACAGACTAAAAAGGAAAATACCTCATTTAATATGAAACGGAGGGAGTAACAAAGAAGCAATATTCTCGAAATTTAGAGTTACGTGTAAATTAAAGCTAATTAATTTAAACTTATTTACCCTAAATATCTAAAGTTTGCTACTCCGTATTTATCAAAATTGATTTGGATTTTTTTTTTTTTTACAAATTTGCATGTGTTCCTCCATAAAATGCTTTTAATAGCATAATTCGGCCTTCAATTAATTATTTCTTGTTACACTTTTTTCCTTTTTTTCTCCCATTCTCTCTCCCTTCTGCCCTTGTTCTTCACCCTCACCAGATGAACGTCACTCTCGCCGGAAATTTTGTTAAACTTGCTATCAGTCACTATTCCGATTAGTAGATGGTGAGCCTTTAACTTATGAAGATGTTGTCCGAAATACCAAATAAAGATATGACATGGATGAAGAAATAAAGGCGATCAAGAAGAATGATATTTTGGAATTAGTCACACTTCCAAAAGGCAAAAGCACTGTTGTTGTCAAATGGGTTTATAAGTTGAAGGTTTGAGAAGGAATTTTGAAAAATGTTTTCCCTTCTCCTGATAGAGAAAATATTTTTCTCCAATGAGCTCATGAGGAAAATGTTTTCCAAAACATTTAGGCCAACCAAATATGGAAAAATTGGTTCATACCACACACACCCTAAATCAATAGAAAATTCATCAAACGGGTGTGAAGTCGGCTTTCTTGAATGGTGTTTTGGAGGAAGAGGATTACATTGATCAAACTTTGGGCCACAAGGTTGAAGGACCTGAAAATAAAGTTATGGAGCTTGAGCACGTGAAGTCACAAGACCGAATTGTGGTTATTTTTCACCAAGCCGTTGAAGATTGAGCTTTTTTCCATAAGGTAAGGAAGGCCCTTGGAGTGATGAAACAAGTTTAAGGGGGTTGTTGAAATGTGAAAATAATAAACTTGTTTTTCATTTGTTTACGTTAGTCTACATTAGTTCATGAACTACAATATTAAGTTAGTACATGTATTAAAGTATGAACACATTGATGTATTTTGCAATATGTGAAGTGTGAACATGATTAGTGTGTTTACATGTACTCTAGGCTAGATACATGAAGGATTTTCTCTATAAATAGTCATGTATTCCTAGCCATTTGAATCAAGTCAAGTTGAATAGAAATCATCCTTTCCTCTACTTTCTTCTTTGTGATTTGAGTGTTCTCTTGTGTTGTCTTGCTCTCCCAAATTTTTTAACAATTAAGAGGCTACAATCAATGAATACTCATTTGATATTAGTTTGTGTACAACTGGTAAGTTATATATCAGATTATTAAGTTAAATCATCTCAAATGAGGCCATGAGCAGCTTGATTTTCTAGCGCGTCGTTCAGCAGTCTGAGGCCATGAGCAGCTTCATTTCAGGTATTACGACTTGTACGCGTGGTCGGAATTGAGTTTCGGAAAGTTTGGAGTTGATTTGGGAAGAAAATTCTCATTTCGGAAGCTTAAAGTGAAAGAATTAACTAGGAAGGGATTTTTGAGTAAACGCCCTCGGAATCGAGATCTGAAGGTTCCAGCAGGTTCGTATGATGATATCGGACTTGGGCGTATGCCCGGTTCGGGTTTTGGATAACCCGGGAGCGTTTTGGCGCCTATTGTGGAAGTTAGCATTTTTGAAGAAATTTCATAAGTTAGGCTTGAAGTGTATTTCAGTGTTATCAATGTCCTTTTGGGATTCCGAGTCTGTGAATAGCCCCGTATGGTGATTCTGGAGTTGGGAGCGCGATCGGAAGTGAATTCGGAGGTCCGTAGGTCATTTTGGAGTCATTTGGCTAAACATAGAAATTTGAAGGTTTTTGAGAAGTTTGACCGGAAGTGGACGTTTTGATATTGGGGTTGAAATCCGATTCCGAAAGTTGGAGTAGGTCCGTAATGTCGGATATGACTTCTCTGCAAAATTTGAGGTCAATCGGACGTGATTTGATAGGTTTTAACATCGAAAATAGAAGTTTGAAATCCTGAAGTTCATAAAGCTTGGATTGGAGGTCGTACATGATTTTAGCATTATTTGATGTTATTTGAGGCCTCGAGCAAGTCCGTACTGTATTTTGGGATTGATTGGTACAATTGGTTGGGGTCCCGGGGGCCTCGGGTGGATTCCGGGTGGTTAACGGATCGAATTTGGGTAAAAAGCTGTTGCTGGTATCTGGTTTCCTTCTTCGCGAACGCGGAGGGAGTCTCATGAACGCGAAGAGGAAATTGGGAGGCTGCTGGTTTTTGCCTTCGTGAACGCGAAGAGGGAGTCGCGAACGCGAAGGGGTGGGCTGAGTTGCTACCCGAACGCGAGGAGGAGATCGAAAACGCGTAGAAGGAAAAAGCTAGGCTTGGGGTCTTTGGCCTATGCGAATGTGAGGCCTTGTACGCGAACGCGAAGGGCTGGGTGACTGGCCTTCACGAAAGCGAGCGGAAGGTCGGGAACGCGAAGAAGGGCGGACCTAGGCTGGGCAGAATGTTTAAAAATCGGGGTTTGAGTTGATTTCACCCATTTTTCTCTTGGCTTGGACGATTTTTGGAGCTTTTGAAGGGGGAGTTCCGTCATTCTTCACGATGTAAGTAATTTATGCTAGTTTTGAGTTAAATACAAGGTTTATATATGGTTAGACATGGAAATTTGTAGAAAACTTGGGTTTTGAGGGAAAACCTAGAAAAGTAGTATTCTTGGATTTTGACCTTGATTTTGGGTATGGAATTTAGAGAAAATTATATATTTTAGTTCGTGAGGCTATGGATAAACTTATTCTTCAAATTTTTTTGAAATCCGGGCACATAGGCCCAAGGGAATTTTTGTCAACTTTCCGATCGGGGTTAGGAATTGTTATAAATTGGGTTAGTATGAGTAGTTTATCGTATATTAATGGATTTGCATAACTATTGGCTAGTTTTGGAGCGTTGTGCATCAATTTGAGTTTTAGAAGGGCGTGAAGGCCGGTTATGGATCTTCGGAGCGAGGTGAGTCTCCTTTCTAACCTTGTAAGAGGGAATTGTTCCCATAGGTGAAATAATTGGTTATCTGCTCCTAATTGTGGGGGCTACATACGCACGAGGTGACGAGAGTCCGTGCGTAGCTGCTATTATGCTATTGTCCGGGTAGTTAGGATCCAAAAACATGTTATACTTGGATTGTTTGTGAACCTATTGATAGCTTGAACTGGCTAAATCACATCGAATTGGTAAATGAATTTTTAAATAGATAAAATTTTATTTTTCTTAAATGGCTAAAAGAGGATTTATTTTCATTGGATAATTACTCCATGTTGACTTCTTGATTAACTGTCTGTGTGTTTATTTTTTGAACGGGCCGAACGCCTCGGCAGATTAAGTAGATGCATCTATGGTTCGTGCCGTTCGACCCTCGGCCGTGCACAGTTTATTTTCTGTTGGAGCGGGCCGTACGCCTCGGCATGATTTGTGCTATGCTTGTGTTGCTTGCCTTGAAACGTATTAAAGTTGTTATAGCCTCTTTTCGGCTTGAGAATAATTGTATAAATGATGAAAAGGAAATGTGGAAATTTCCTACAAAAGGAAGAATTATTTATTTGCTTCAACCTATCGAATTATAATCATGTTTATAAAAATCCACGATTTAACATATTATTGATATATCATTATTGGACCTCTAGTAAGAAGCCGACCATCTCGTCTCTACTTCTTCGAGATTAGATGGGATACTCATTGAGTACACGTTATTTTTGTACACATACTACACTTCTGTGCATTTTTATTGCACATGCATATGTAACCCCACCGGCTTACGGGGCATAGCATCATGGATGATACTGGACTAGGTGAGTTGCACTTCTCGAGGTGGCCCGCAGCTAGTATAGCCCCTTCCAGTGTATTGTATTTACTTTTTGTCCAGTGTATTCCGGACAACTGTTGCACTTTATTTGGTTTTTCTTAGAAATTGCTTATGCACTTGTGACACCGGGTTCTGGGATGGTTTGAAGTATTTTTGTATTAATTGCTTATCATTTAATTTGAATTGAAGCGATTATCTTTTTATTTATAAAAATGGAGGAAAGTCATAGATTTCAAGAGTATTAAAACGAGAATTTAATTAAGTAATTTGGTTCGCTTGCCTAACGGTAGTGTCCGGCACCATCACGACCCTTAGTGGATTTTGGGTCGTGACAACATGGTATTAGAGCACTAGGTTCCTAGGGTCTCACGAGTCATGAGAAAGTCTAGTAGAGTCTCACGGATCGGTACGGAGACGTCTGTACTTATCCTCGGGAGGCTGCAGGATTGTTAGGAGTACTTCCCTTCTTGATTCCTTATCGTGCGATTTGATCCTTGGAGGCATATGCCTTTAATTCATTCCTACTCAATCTTATGATATGCGAACTGCTTGTTATAAATCGAGAATTGAATAACCG